TCTAAATTAGATCTGTCCCTAATGAACCAAAGTATCGCTTCCCAGATGTTCTGTCACTCATCCTTGCTTTGAGTCATATATGCTGACAATTAGTGCCTCCTTGGGACAAGGGAGACAAAAAAAGACAGTGGGTGCTAGCAGAATGGGCTGAGACACCCCTAGACACGGTGGGCAGAATAATTACCATTCTTAAAGCAAAAGGATGCAAGGAACTCCACATGATTGTCCATTACTAAAAAAAAAAAAAAAAATCTCAATGTCAGCTGACTAGTCTACAACATCCCCAGCAGAGTTGCAACACCGGCCATGGGACAAGAATCATCAGTCATGAATGACGAATAGCAGCTTTGATTCACTAAACATTCTGTGTATTTTGACTATCATGGCCAAACAAGGTTTTTTTTTTTTTCCAGTATATCTTCTCCATAGTAGACATGCAGTAATATTTTCTGCATTCTCTTCCCTTCCTTCATAGTACCATTTATTTCCTTTTCTTATCCACTGATTTGTCTTCCAATCCAATCAGTAAGTAATCAGGGTCATTCTTCTTAGGCAGGATGATGCTTTTTATTGAACTCTAGTGTTCACACAGGAAAGCACACATGCTATTAATGTAGAGCCCAACGAATTTTCACAAATTGAACACATCTGTATAAGCAGAGCCCAAATTAAGAAAATAGAAGAGAAAAATCATAACAGCACCCCCAGGAGATGCCTTGTGTTGTCTTCTAGGTTGATATATGAAGGGAATATAAAATATTTGTGGGAAAATGGAACCAAAAGATAAATATAAACCCTATTTCTCAACACAAACTCCAGCAAGTCCAATATAGTTTTTTGCAAGCGATGATTTCAGTCATTCAGTCCAACCTTAAAGAACTGAGAACCCTGGAAATCTAACCATGTCTGTGCAAGCTGTTTTTTCATTATTAATTGAAGAAAAATGGGTACCTATTAGAGACTTTTTGAGATGAGGAAATACAAAGAAGCCAGAAGGAGTCAAGTTCAGTCTTTAAGGGGCATGCTGGATGATTTCCCATAGTAGTCGTTGCTCCAATTGTGTTTTGTCTTCAGGATTATACTGGGAAAGCCATGCTTCATCTCTTATTCCAATCTTCCAGTTCTTTAAAAAAAATGATTCAGGGTCTTGATCCTGATTTTTTAAATCTATTTTTATTTTTTAAGAGTTATTTTATTTATTTGAAAGACAGAGTTACAAGGAGAGGTAGAGCCCGGGGGGGGGGGTGTCTTCCATCTGCTGGTTCACCCCCCAAATGACCACAATGGCCAGAGCTGAGCTGATCCGAAACCAGGAGCTAAGAGCTTCTTCCAGGTCTCCCAGGTGGGTGCAGGGGCCCCAGAACTTGGGCCATCTTCTACTGCTTTCCCAGGCCATAGCAGGGAGCTGGATCAGAAGTGGAGCAGCCAGGACTCGAACTGGCACCCATATGGGATGCCAGTACTGCGACCCACTGTGCCATAGTGCTGGCCCCCATCCTGTTGTTTAAAATTTCCATTGGAAACCCTGCTCTTGTCTACAGCTGTTCTGGAAGCAACAGTTTGGGCATTCAGCAAGCAGAAAATTTGCTTTACTTCAATTTTTCAATCAGAATTGTGTAAGCTGAACCAATTGAGATTGCTATGGCACTAGCTATTGTTTGTTTCTGCTATTAGTAATTGGTCTTAATCAATTAGGATAGAAACAAATTTAATTTGTTTTGAGAAAATTGATGTGGTTGTTCAGCCCTGGAGGCCTTCATTATCAACATCATCTCATCATTTCTTAACATGAGTTATCCATCTGTTAACTCCTGATTCCTTTGGGGCAATGTCCCCATAAACTTCTCATAAAACATCAGTGATTTCACCATCCTTCCACCCAAGCTTCATCATAAATTTGGTATTTGTTCTTGTTTCAACTTTATCAGAATTCATATTTCTCTGATAGGAGTTTGTAGCACATTGAAGGCTTGTTCTTAGTGTCTCAAAATGGATTCCTGCAAAGTTTTTTCATAACATACATTTTCCACAAACTTTTTGATGACCCCTTTATTCTTATCTATCTAGCTATTTTTATCTATATTTAGATATGAATATATACACAGGTATATATGCTGATGAGTGTTCATGCATAGGTTGAGTGAATGACAGCAATGGCTCAAGGAACAGAAGGGAAGAATATTTTGCCATTGCAAAGTAGTTACAGTATATATGAAGTAGTATAGTATTATCTGAATGTGGAACTTACTTGTAAACATATGTTGTAAAGGTTAGGTCAATCTATAAGAGAAACATTTTTTTAAAAAAGAGGAATAAATTAGATGTTAGGACAGGAGAGAAAATGGAATCATATAAAATGCTCTAATAAAACCACAAAAGATAGAAAAGCTGTGAAAGACAAACTATGGCACAGATGAGACAAATAGAAAACAATAACAAATATATAATAGATTACAATCCAACTATACCCATAATCACTTAAGGATCAGTGGTCTGAAAACATCAATAACTGAAGGGGATGATCAGAATGTATCAGAACACAAAGCTCAACTGTAAGCTATCGATAAGAAATATATTTTGAGTATAAGATACAGACAGATTAGTGTTAAAGGGATGAAGAAAATTATACCCATTAACACTATGAAGAAAATTATACCCATTAACACTAATCAAAAAAGAGAGAATAGGTATATTAATTTCAGAGACAGTCATCTTCAGAACAAGGAAAGCAAGAAGGGCATTGCATAATGATAAAGAGGAAGCCAGCAGGCCCAGATGACCAATCCATAATCTCAAAATTCTTCTGGGTCTCCCATGTTGGGTGTCAGGGACCTAAGGGCTTGGGTGCTCACCTGCTGCCTCTCAGTGTGTGTGAATAGGAAATTGACATGGAATGCAGTAACGAGGTGGGGACCCATGCACCTGGAAGGGTGTGTGTGCATCCCTAGTTGGATCTTAATCCCTGATCCTGATACCTGCACCATTTGGTTTTTATTTAAACTCTAATGAACTTTATCTGAATGCTGCTATAGAGCTTTTCTGTTTCTGAATCTTTAAACATGCACTGCATGAAAACATGAGTAGATGTATTTCAGGAATGAACTACAAAGATCTTATACTTCAGATTTTTTTCAAAATGCTGTCTAAGAAACACTCTCCAAGAATCCACTCTTTTGCAATTGTGACATTATCTTAATTTAAATCATCAAAGAAATAAACACTTGAAACTAGAGTAGATAATTGAATTTTAATTTGTATCTATTTTATAATTCATCAGTAGGTATGCAAGAATAGTTTGAAAACATGTCTTTGGAAATAAATGGGGATACATTTGTTACAATATCCCTTAAGAAGTCAAAATTGATGGAATATATTGAAAGATTTCAATGGCCAAATTAGAGAGAGAGAAAGCGAGAGAGAGAAAGATATTTCAACAGCTAGTTCACTTCCTAGAAGTCCACAGTGACCACGGCTAGGACAGGCTAAAGTCAGGAGCGAGGAGCTTCATCGAGGTCTTCCACTTGGGTTGCAGAAGCCCCATAGAGGATGGGCCATCTTTCTCGGCTTCTCCTGGGCCATTAGTAGGAAGCTGGATCAGCAGTGGAGCATCCTGCTCAGGAACTGGTACCCCCACGGGGGATATTGACATTCCACACAGCAGCTTATCTGAGTATGCCACAATGTTCCCCCTCTTCCACCCAGTCCTAAAACTTTAAGGATTTTTAAAATATCTTTTTCAAAGGCAGAGCAATAGAGAGGGGAAGAGTCAGGGAGAGAGAGAGATCTGCTGGCTCACCCCATAAAATGGCAGCAACAGCAGGGGCTAGGCCAGGCTGAAGTCAGAAGCCATCAGCTCCATCAGGAAGTTGGATCAGAAACACAGCAGCTGGGACCTGACCCACACCATCCGATGTGGATGCTGGTGTCACAGGCAGTAGCTTAACGCCCTGTGTCCTGACACCGGCCCCTCCCCTCACATTTTAAAAGGAACTAGTCATTCTCCTGCAACAGCACTTAAACACTTCACTTCTGATGCTTGTACAGTACCAGGGGCCAGTGTAGATCATCGCTGTGATAATTCCTATCCTAGATATGTGGCAGTGACCCGGATGCGGCCAGCTTTGTGGGACAACATGGAAAGCCACCCCCTGAGACACTGGCACCCCATCTGGCACCCATTCGTGTCCCGGCTGCTTCCCTTCTGATCCACTCTTTGCTTATTGCCTGGGAAAAGAAGAAAAAGTGGCCAAGTGTTCAACTGCTCTGACCTCATAAGGACCAACTGTCATGAAATACAAATTCATGCCAGTCCCTGCTGGACTGCCATTGGTCCCTTCTCTATGAGTCTTCTGTGTGGCCTGCTTCCCATGTTGGATAATACTCTCCTTTTAAATTCTATCAACTGTAATTTGATTTCTATAATGGGAAATCCAGGCTAAAAATGAACAATATGCATTGAAATGAAAATGTATTTCTAGACATTGGCAATCCCAGATCAATGGTAAAAAGCACTAAAATACACACAAAGTTTTTTTGAAATTTAATTCAACATGATGCTGGAAAGCCTACCTAGAGAAACTGGGCAAGAAAAATAAAGGACCTCCAAATTAGAAAGGAGGAAGGCAGACTATCTCTTTGGTAAATGACATGATCTTAGAAAACCCCAAAGGTGCAACCAAAAAGATGATAGAACTAAGACATTCAGCAAAGTGGCAGGCTACAATGTTGAGGTTCAAAACCGGTAGCACTCTTATACACCGATAGTGAATCATCTGGAAAAGAAACCTAGAGAGCAATCCCATACCCAATAGCTACAAGAAAGAAAAAGAAAATACCCAAGATAAATGTAATCAAGGAGACAAGCTATTTCTACAACAAACCTAATAATCATAGATGAAAGAAATTGAAGAGAATTTTTAAATTTGGGAATAGCATGCAATACTTGTAGGTTTATGGACTACAACACACCATTCCAACACAGGTACACAGCACAATCTGATCCTACCAGACAATTAGCCTCCCCAGAGATCTTATGTCTTTATGGCTTTGGCGTCCTGTGCAGGGTCCTGTTGTTCAGCCTCAAAGATCTCTTTCGTGCAGAGCAGTCCTAGTGGTAACTGTGTCCCTCCAAACTTCATGTTCAAACTTCAAGGTCAATGCTACAGTATAAAGAGGTGAGGAACACAGGACTGGGGTTCCACTCTCCTTTACAGGATGAGAAAGTTTCTTCTCTAAAAAAAGACATTTATTTACAGAGAGTGAAGGTGGAAGACAGAGAGAGTGTGTGGGGAGACAGAGAAAGAGAAAGAGAGAGATAGGTTCTAACTGCTGCTTTACTCCCCCAGTAGCCACAATTGCCACCTCTGGGTCAGGCCAAAGCCAGGAGCCTAGAACTCCATCCAGGTCTCCCACACGGGTGGCAGAGGCCCAAATATTTCATCCATCATCTGCTGCTTTCCCAGGCACAATAGTAGGGAGCTGGTTTGGAAGTGGAGCCAGGCCTCCAACCAGAGCCCACATGGGATGCTGGTGTAGCAGGGTTTAACCTGCTGGACTGCAGTGTCAGCTGCAGGCTACCTGTCTGTCTAAAAGGTTTGACTGGGTGAGGTCTGTGCTTTCACCATCTGAGGACACCCCAGGAAGCCATGATCTTTCCTTAAAATTTACTGGGGAGTTTTGAACTAAGGGTACTTTTTTAAGGACTACAATGCCACTTTGCACACATGTACTTGGCTTCAATCAACCACAGCAAACCACCAGCCTTCCCATCTTACCATCTCTCTCTGAAGAAGGCTCAGCAGCAGCAGAGAGGGAGCACTTTGCAGACAACGAGTCTGCTGGACCCCTGACCTCATCTTCCAGCCTGCAGAACAAACACTGAGGAATGAAGTTCTGTTCTTTATCCAGGACTCCGTTCAAGACACTCTGTTGGAGTAGCCCAAGAACCCTGAGACATCAGGAAATGCCTCCATTTCTCCCTGCGATTCTAAAGACAATTTGGAGGAAGCAGCTCTCTCAGCTGATACTTACTTGGCCTTCCGTACCTGGACTATACCAACCCAAAGCTACCTTCTGGTCCTCCAGGGATTCTAACAAGAAATCTGGTGATGATCTTAGGGGGAAAATGATAATGATAATGATAATGGAAAATCCCTTCCTCTCAGCTTGGCTGATGTGAATAATGTGCTTAGTGGTGTCATGGGCAACAGAACACTTGGTCAAGGAATTCATGATGCCAGAGAAGCTGTAACATCATTCTGAGACCTATCATTCCGAGGTTCAAGGAAATGGGACATGTATCTAGATTGTAGACAATCGAAGGTCTTAAAGACCCCATGGTATTTTTCACTCTTTAAACCAGAAATGAAAAGGCTATAGGTGATACTATGTGTTTTAATGTTCAAAAAATAAACCTCAATCTGTATCTCCAATCTAAGCCAAAAGCTCTTGGGGTCTTTGAAGATATTGTTTAAGAGGAAGTTTGTTGAGAAAACCCCGAGGATTAGCTGTGGCTGTGATTGGTCCCCGCCCATCTCTGACTTCATAAGGACCAACTGTCATGAAATAGAAAGTCGTGCAAGTCCCTGCCGGACTGCCATTGGTCCATTTCTTGCTCTGACTTCATAAGGAGCCCTGTGATGACAGGATTCCACACGCCTATATAAGCGGCTCCACGGCCCAGGTTTTTGTCCGCTTTACCAGGGAGCTATTTCGGTGACCTGTGTGACTTGGACCCATCTTTGCGTGCGCTTGTGCTGGTTGGTGTTGGTGTGCTCTTTTGTTTGTTTGTTTGTTTCTTGTTCTATTTGGTTTTTTCTTTCCCCCATTTGGATTTAGTTTGTTGTTTTCCTCCTATTTTTTTTTTTTTTTGGCCCATTGTGTCTTTTTTTGCAGTTTTTTTCGTTTTTGGCTTCCCGCATCTTTAGCTAGACAGTGCGGCTAGATCTCTGAGTGTTAGTGTAGCTATTTAGTGTTTGTTTTTTTGGAGTTTCTCTGGTTTTTGTTTTCTGTTTTGGTTAGATAGGACTTAGTCTTGCCACTGTGTTTGATAAGTGTAGTTAGTATAGTTAGTGTGCCACTATAGTCAGCTCAGCAGGTAGTCCCCTTGTTGTCCCTTTATTTTCTTAGTTATTGTAGTTAGGGTAGCTCCTTAGTTAGTGTACATGGACAGGAATATTAGCCAGAGTAGTGCAGAGAGTGTAGTTAGGGACACCCACCTGGAAGGCCGTGAGGGTCTGGATGCCATCGCCAGGCATCAGCTTGGTCTCCAGTTGCTGTCGGTTCTGGGCCGGGGCAGCTTCGGCCTGGTGGTGCTGGCCCACCAGGCTTCCAGCCAGCGGCAGGTGGCTGTGAAGATATTCCTTGAAGACTCCAGTGACCCCTTTGGCACCAGGCGAGTGACGCAAGAGGCCAGCATCATGCAGCTCCTGAGGCACCCGAATATCGTGGAGCTGCTGGAGGTGGGCTGGGTCGGCCATTACCACTGCCTGGTGATGGAGCTGGTGGACGGGGGCGACCTCTACCAGCACGTGATGAGCCGGGGCGGCCTGCCAGTGCCCGAGGTCATGGTCATGTTTGACCAAATCCTGGCGGCCGTGGGCCACTGCCATGCACAGCGGGTGGCGCACAGGGACCTCAAGCTGGGGAACCTGCTGCTGGACTCTCAGCTCAACGTGAAGCTGGCGGACTTTGGGCTCAGCTGCCATCTGCCTGAGGGCAAGCTGGTGCAGGGCTTCCGCGGGACCCCGGAGTACAGTGCCCCGGAAGAGTTCCAGCCAGAGCCCTACGACCCCTATGCCACAGATACCTGGAGCCTGGGGGTCATCCTCTTTGCCATGCTGGCGGGGGCCATGCCCTTCAGCGGGAAGGACCGGGAGGAGCTGCGGGACTGCATCCAGAGGGGGAGCTACGAGCTCCCGTGTGCGGCCAGCCCAGCCCTGGAGGAGCTCCTGAGCTCACTCCTCAGCCCAGACCCCTGCGACAGGCCTACGGCGGAAATCCTTCACCAACAATGGTGGTTGGAGGGAGCCAAGGGCGAGGAGGTGACCGTGGTGCAGCCCCTGGGGGTTCCCGAGGACCCAGAGGCCCAGGAGTACCTGGCGGGCCTGGGTCTGCTTCCGGACGCTGGAGCCTCGGAGCCATCTGGCCCTGGGGGATCCAGCCGGATGTCCCTGCAGCCAGATTCCCAGAGCCTGGAGCAGGTAGAGAGAGCCCCGGTGTCAGAGTGCGGGTCTTTGATGGTCTCCCCGGGTTTGGGGGCATAAGGGAGGTCCAGCGTGCACCTGTCCTTCTCACCTGCCTTCCCCTGTCACCTCAGGGATACAGGGAGCCCACGCCAGAGCCTGAGTGCATGTCCCAGGCGGAGTCGGATTCAGAGGCAGAGCTGGGGTCAGAGTCGGAGCCAGAGCCTGCGTTGCAGCTGGAGTCAGAGTCGGAGTCGCCACCCCAGCCTGAGCCGGATCCTGCAGTGTCCGCCCCTGTGCTTGCCTCTCCGCTCCCTGGACAGCTTCAGGAGAGGAGCCCTGGTGCCAGCCCAGCCCCCGAGCCCGTCCCTGTGCCTGCCCCCTCCACCCCCAGCCTCGGGAGCAGTCAGCACCTGGTGGTGCCAGAGGTCCCAGCAGCTGAGCCTGAGGAGGCTGGGAGCTCAGCATCGGCCTCTGTCCCGAGCAAGGGCCGGCAGGGGCTGGGCAGGAGGATTGGCAGGAGCATCCTCAGACTCCTCCTGCGTGCCTGCTGCCTGCCGGCCCCAGCCAGAGGCCCTGGCCCCCGCAGCCGAAAGGTGGCCCCCAGGTAGCCTGCCTCAGTGTGCAAGCTGAGCTGCCGGAGGGCTCACATTTGCTTCTCGTCAATAAAAATCTAAACTTTATCCATGGAACTGTCATGTGTGTTGTGTTGGGTGCACCTTGGCATGGTTGGATGGAGTTGACTACCAGATGGATCTCCCCTGGACAAGGACGGTCCCCTCTCGTTGCTCTAGGGCTGACACACAGGCTGATCTCCTGGACTTGAGAAGAGAGGGATGACTCCCAGAAGCTGGCTGGGGGTGGGTGGGGCGGTAGATGTGGGGTAGAGGTTGGTGGGGGATTGGGTGTGGGATGTGGGGAAGGTGGGAGGGTCTGGGGTGTGGTACTTTGTGGGGATTGGATTGGCCAGGTGTGGACTCAGACAGCTACCTGTGGGAGCTGGGCAGGAATTCCAACTGTGGCCTGGGTTCAGCAGAGAACAGAGGGGGCCATGTAGCAGCGGTTTCTCTGCAGGTGTTCAGGACACTGGGTCATCTGGCCCCAGCCTGGCCATCCAAAGCTGCCTGTGCAAACAGGAGGGAGGTAACATTAGAACCTGGGGCTGCCTGCAGAGCAGAGGGCCCCTCCAGCTCCACCTGGGGAAGCTGTGGACATGGAGCCCTCCACACCCAGGATAATTTTCTTAGCTCCATGTTTCCTGGGGTTGGGAGCTAGTTCCAGGGAATGATCATTTCTTTCAAATAGGAGGTAACATGGAGGCTCTACCAAGATGGATCACAGCCCTTTTGCTGTTCTGCCTCCTCCTGGGACAGAATCGGGGCTGTGAGTGCTTCAGCTTCAGTGGGTGGTCAGGCCATTCTTGAGGGCCTCTGGGAAGTTACAGGGAAAAATGACTTCAGAGGAATCTCAGGGGCACCCCCAGGACTGACAGATGGTTCATGGTGATCCTGACGGGATAAGGCTGTGAGCCGTTTCCAGGGCAGACACGCAGACACTGTGTGTGAGCTCTCTGCACACTCATGACCTGGTTACTGTTTTCAGAATGTGAAATGGGAACACAGGTCCTGCTGGTGTGTGTGCACCTGCCGGAAGCCCACAACACAAGGACAAGTCACTAGAAGCAGGCCTTGTTGGGAGTTACAGAAGTGTGCCGGGCAGGGCCCCGGTTATACTTGGTTCTCCTGACCTTGCTGCTGAGTTTCCTGTGTGACTGGTTTCAGTATCCTGGCTCTTTCCCCATGTTGTGTCTCCCTCTAGGAGCTGTGGCCTGGATACCTGTGAGAGGCTGCACCACTTCTCTCCCTTAGGTTTTCTGGACCCTGGGTGCCAGAAGAGAGATTGATGGTGAAACACAGCAGCCCGGAGAATTGGCGGGCCGGTGCCTTTGCTAATTCAGGTTCCGTGGCCCCAGTCACCTGCATTTCCATGAGAGACAGTGAACGTGTAGTTGGGGAGGTGCCTCAGGGTCTTTCTCTGGGTAAGTCTTTCCTTTGGGGTGAGCTACAGTGGTCATGGCCAGGTATAGAGATGGGTCCTACCCATTCAGGTGAGATTGTCTTTCACACCGAGGGCAGGGCTGGGGAACAAGAAGCAGGCAGGGTTGGCCGGCATCGTGGCTCACTAGGCTAATCCTCCACCTTGCGGCACCGGCACACCGGGTTCTAGTCCTGGTCGGGGCACCAAATTCTGTCCCGGTTGCCCCTCTTCCAGGCTAGCTCTCTGCTGTGGCCAGGGAGTGCAGTGGAGGATGGCCCAAGTACTTGGGCCCTGCACCCATGGGAGACCAGGAGAAGCACCTGGCTCCTGGCTTCGGATCAGTGCGGTGTGCCGGCCGCAGCACACCAGCCGTGGCGGCGGCCATTGGAGGGTGAATCAACGGCAAAAGGAAGACCTTTCTTTCTCTCACTGTCCACTCTCCCTGTCAAAAAGAAGAAGAAGAAGAAGAAGAAGAAGAAGAAGAAGAAGAAGAAGAAGAAGAAGCAGGCAGGGGTGGGGTGGCAGGCTTGGTGCCCCATCTGTTCCCTGGTGTGGATTTTCTTTATGCCCAGAAGTCCAAAGTGTGGACTCCCACTGTTGCTGTCCTTCAAACCTATGCAGGGCTCTGTCCCCTTCAGGGCAGGACTCAGCTCCTCCCTTCTCACTGGGGACCTTCCCTCACCTGCTCCCTGCCCGCCTTCCCTCTGCACACATTGGACGGCCTTGTTAGATTCTGGTCTCTTTCCTCTCTGGGAAGCCAGCAGGCCAGAGTCACCAAACCTGAAGCTTGGATCTGCATCTGGGTCTCTCATGCTGGGTGTCAGGGATCCAAGGACTTGAGTGTTCACCTTCTGCCTCTCAGACTGCGTGTGAGTATGAACTTGAAATTGAATGCAGTGCCAAGATTCGGACCCAGGCACCTGGGCAGGGCGTGTGTGCATCCCAAGTGGGGTCTTAACACCTGCCCCCAACACTTGTACTTGTCTGGATTTTATTTAAACTCTAATGAACTCTATCTGAATGCTGCTATAGAGACCAGAGC